ATCTTTTATACTATATTCAAAACATGGTAAGAGTGAAGTAAAAATTACTAGTATAATTTTAACACTAAATTCTTTAAGAACAAGGCAAGTATTTAAATAAATATAAAACTAGTCACATAAATTTTCCATTTGGTAAATCTTTAAAACTTCTGGTCACCATTCAAATGTATCTTCTATCTCTGTTATCACAGATGGGAATATTACAAGTCATCAGTGCCTATTCCAAAAATTCTTGTTATTCAGATACCAAGTAACTTAAACGATAAGGCAGTCTGATTTATTCTATAGTACTATAATGGAAATATAGACCTGAAGCACTGCAAAAGAATCATATGCCCTCTGAATTATCAGAGCACAATTACAGTAACCTCAGTAGTGTTCTTGTATAAAGGGCATTTTCAATGAAAACTAAATACTTGAAAATTTGACAGAGATGTAATGTCTCAATAGCAACACTTGGTCAATCAAAATATTGAAATAGCAATACAGATATACAGAGGAAAAAACTATGATTTATACAAGTGTATTCCTGGTTCTTGAGGAAGTAGACAAAGTGAATTGAACTAGCAAAATAAGATTTTCCAAAATGAACTTATAAAGTGTTAGTTTATAATAACTTTTATGTCAGACCTTAAAAAATGGTACAAAGAAAAAATGTTTTTAAATAACTCCAAAATACAGAACTAGGCTTCACTCTATTTTGGAATTATTTAGCATTTTAAAAGATAATATATAATCAGTTCTATTTTCTTATGCACACACGCATACATGCATGCACACAGGAAAACGGAAAGACTTATCACATGATATCTACCGTGTGGACAGGGTTCTTGTGGGTTTTGCACTTCTGCTTATGTAACCAAGGAGGTCTCAGAAAGATATTTAGGATTCCCAACATATATCCAACAAAGAGAGGTATTTTTTTCCTCCATTAAAAGAAAATATTCTGGCTAGATGCTGATTTCCTGAAACTTTTTTCTCATTTTAGTCATTTTAAAAGAAAAACATTTTGGAATTAGGCAGTTAGAAAATAATCCAACCTATCGTGCATCACAATCCCAGTATAAAGATTTTCATATACCTCTACCCTCAGAACCAAAAACCATCTACTTTCTTATCCCTTCCTTCTAGACTGTAAAACACAGTTCCAAAGTTAAATTCAAATCTGTTGACAATTAAGAGTACCCACTTGGTGGTATGGCATAGAATGCTTTAGATGGTGACATTCTCATTTAGTGTAAAACTCTCATTTCCATACTGAGAAAATGCAGGAAATACATTTCTAAATTGATGTTTCCAGGTAAGAAGAGAAAACTTAGTGGCAAATGAAATGGAATATTGTTAATTATGTTCCATCAGATATATTCTGTCATTCAACTGATTCAGGTAAGTCTACTGTTGATTTCTAGCAAACTCTGGCCATCAGCCTTTCCTAGGCCAGAAAGGAAGGCAAGAAAACTCATTTCTATACTCTTTTCCATTTCCCTGACAACAAATATTTTATTTTTTGAAGTTTGAATTCTAGGCATTCTAAACATTACATATAAAGAAACATCTGAAGCTTAATTCTTCCAAAACCGTTATATTTGATTCCTGCTTAAATCTTTAGTTAAAAGGCCGTAGGGTTGCAATACATTTTAAAATGCACACAAAGAAATCCAAGTGCAAAATTAAACATAAAAAAATGCACCGTCCTTTTTGGTTTTTAACAGACACAGCCCCCAAATAGCAAATTCCTGGTTACTTTTTTAAGTAAGTAGATTAAAAACAAGATTAACAAAAAGCATGTCAAATTATAGCCTCTACTAGTTAAAAATTCTGTTGGTTGTAAAACTCTGCTGGTAGCCATATTGGCCTAGGATTTTTAATATAAATGAGACTAGAAATGACAGGGAATGGGAGAAGGGACTTGCCTTTTTGGCTAAAAAGGGAAAATATTATCTAGAATGAGTTGAGATGAAAAATAATACCAAAAGTCTGGCTTTATCAAAATCTGAAAATGTAGTATAAACTAAAATATAAGAATAGTGCTATACCATTAAAGATCCAAAAAATTTTCTAAACATTTCTTGAAGGATGTAAAAATATTAACTATTGGAGAAAATTATATAATTGCTAAATGAAATAATATATTTTTTTATTTTTTTCATGTAGGTCTCTAATACTTTGAAACCATTAAATTCTATGATATAATTTTATATTCATTAAAATATGTAAAGAAAGATGGCATAGCCATATACTTATTATAATATGTCTGTGTGTGTAGTATTTTAAAGTTTTATTAATATTAGCATATGCCCTTTAGAATGACGGTCTTAGTTTTTATTAATATAGTAAAGTCTAGTCAAGTTTGGTTAAAAAGCTATTCTGTTCACATACAAATTATTAAAGACACTTCATTTTATCTCTCATGAAATTGTTGAAAATAGTGAACACTTCTATAACTTTCTTCTTACTTCCTAATGTATTTTAAGGAATTTTTCATTTGGAACATTTTACAAGTCCATTTATATCAATCAACTATACCACCTTTCTTACGTGTTTCAGAAATAATATTCTGAATAACCTATAAATTTTTCATTTTTTTTTTAAAAAGAAAGTAATTCCTGGATAAACCTTAATTTGCAGTTGTTCAAATTCAAGTTGCTCTGTACATGACCTTCTAGTTTTACTGGCTGGGAGGCAGATAAAAGCAATTGAAAAGCTCCCAAATGTAAACATTTCCAACTAAATAGTAATCAGTTACCCTGCCCCAGTTTGTTTTGGGTAAGTAATAGACAATTTTTGGGTAGAAAAGCAATTAATCAATGCTTAAGTGTAGAAAGTTCCAGAGTTCTAAGCAGACTGGTTTAAGTGGATAAACAGTAACAATTCTAACCTAGGCTTCATTACTTGGTCATTGTGCCGACTGACGCCACCAAGTGTGAGGGCCACTATGAGTCAATAGATGGCAGTCCATCGCCTAGTAAAAGAGCTGACGGTGACTAAAATCACCATGAATCTTGTTTTTATTCAAGATTGAATATTGCTTAATTGCATACATTTGGATATTGCCCATATACTGAAAATTTAAATATTTAACTATTTTATTTTAAGTGGACTGATATTTATACATGTTCACACACAAACTAGTTTTGTATTTATACTTGTGTAGTAAACTCATTATCAGTTTAAACTTGTTAGTTATAAATTTTGATGGTTACTTCAATACTATTTTAAAACATCAACCAGGATTTCAGATTAGGATAAATGATGTTTTCAAATTGAATGTTATAGCTACAGATAGAATATATTCTAATTCCCTAAAAAGCACATTCATTTACTTTTCATTTATTTTTTCCTAATGATTTTTTTTACAATTTATGTTTCTGAAAAGCTAAAATATAAAACGTATCTTAAAATATTTCTACTTTTATACTGAAACCAATTTTTACCCTCCAACAATAGCTATATAAAAGAACACAGGTGCAAGTAATCAAAAGAGCTGCTTTAAGTGTACTTCCTACACTTCAAGATTTCAAGATCGGAATTCTTTAAATTAGAGGAAAAGCTAAAAGAAATGTAATATTTAGTCAAGTCTGGTCAGCTGAAAAATAAATAAATAAATAAAAAGAAGAAGAAGAAGAAAAAATGCAATTTCAAATCTATCAGGATATTGCTTTAATACAGTTACAAAGAGTGGCTCTGAGATCTTGAAAAGTATAATACATATATAATTAGATTCTAATTAAGTTGAGGCTGTGAGGATTTCACTTTATTATGTTGAGGTAAAAAAACTGCTACATAACCACAAATCTAATGTATTCAGATGTGCTACATAACCACACCTAATGTTACAACTGCAACATATATGTGTAACATATAAGGGCATGTATATATTTTTTGGTTTAACATTTAAAAGTTTAATAAACCCCAGTTTAGGATTTGAGGGATAGTTGAGGAATTAGAGCTTAGTATTAAAAAATCTTTAAATGAGTAATGGTAGTAACAAAATGTGAAAACACCTGATGTTATTTCTGGCTCCTTGGGCCTGTGACAGATAGATTGATGGTTTGAGTCTATTTATTGGTTTACTTATTATTTCTATAAGAGTAGAGCAGTAAGAAGAAAGATATGTTTTGCAAAAACTTTGCCTTTTGTATTTTTATTACCTGTCTTTCTATAAATAAAACTTTTTAATATGCTATACTTTAAGGAACAATTTTTAACAACTACTAATTAATACATTATATTATATAAGTGTACACTTAAAAGCGTAATTGTCTCTTCCTCAGCATAACATTTAAAAAAGTGACTACTAGGGCTATAGTGAATTACTGAAATTATTTAAGCTGAATAGTAAAAGTAAACTAACTTTATAATATTGAGCCAATAGGATTCTATAGAAAACTATGTTTTCTACTTCTACATAGCCTAAAATCACAATAAAAGGAAACCAGAGAATTGAATAACTTGAATGGTATTAAGTAGTATTTATACATTTTGAATAAGTCAAGTAGCTTATATAAGGATATGACAGTCCAACTGTTCTGTATGAAAGACACACAGTTTTTTCTAGCTTCATTAAAAAATGTGTAAATATTTCAATAAAGGCAGAAAAATGATAATGGAAGATACGGTGGACTGCATGCTTGTGGACTGTGGATAATGCAACATTTTAAAGACACTGGATTATTACTCTTCCTTTATGGCTCCTAGCATACTTTTTCTCTTTAATTTAATGAATATAGTCTATGAAGACTGAGAGATATCACAATGTAATCATTAAATGATGTTAGTAATAAAACATAATCAAAATCTTTTAAGAATAGGAACATAAAGGATAGGGTCATGGGCAAGGGAAAAGAGAAAAAGTATATTATTGCTTTCTCAGTACAAAAACTCTTCAGATGTTTATTATCTTCCAGCAGAAGATGCTTGTCTATATTTTATGGTCAGCAGTTCAGAGAAGGGTAAATAGGCTAGGTCTTGGGGAAAATAAAAAAGGTGTTTCTACTCACCGTTAGGTGATACTGCCTCCAGATTTCTGGGCAAGCCTGGAAAATAAAAATATTGATCAGCTGGGAGCATGAAACAAGGTACTTTACAGCCTGTTGGTTTTGGCATAACCCAGCATCCACCGGTGTCGGTCACAGGAAAATAAGAAGCTTAACAGAAAGGGTCTGCATTTCAGCTTCAAAAACCTGGCTAGACAGTTTAATTGAATTTTACACTGGTTTAACACACTCCCTGCCATTGTCAGAAAGCCAGTAACAAAGTTTTCTCTCTCTTTTTTTCTTTTCAGGTTAGAAGTTTTGGGCACTAAGATGTAATAAAGAGCCATAACTTGGTTAAACTGATAAATGAACAGCAGTGGTCGAAATCAATAAGACTCACCAAAGTACACCTTTTAAAAGAACATTTTTAACTGTGGTAGCATGAGAGAAAACAATTTAATAGCAACTGCTTCCAGAAGACCTCACTGTGGTCATATATTTCTGATATCTGTTGCCATCTTTTACCTAATCACTTGCTGCTAAATTTCAATACTCTATAAAAAAGAGAATTACAAACAATGACAACAAGAACAAAAAACTGCAAGAAACTAAAGTCCATGTGTTTTTCCCTTAAATGTTGAATCTTTCCATATCCACATTTGTAGAGAAATAACTTTAAAAACCCAATAAAACCTCAATAATTTTGTAAAAGATGGACATATTGGAACTAGAATAGAGAACAACAAAACAAATAAGCAAGCTAATACACACAATAGAAGCAACAAAAACCCCAGTGACTAGGAGATATTTTCTCATGAATACACATGTAAATCTTCTTATGCTTAAATTATGACCTTGTTATAGAGACACTTTTTCTAACCAAGCCATTTAAGAACAGTTGATCAGTTTACTATCTTCTCAGGAAAAGAGCTGTGAAGAACAGAAAACATGTTTTTAATAACTATATCAATGATTTTAGTAAAGTAAAATGCCATGCTAAGTAAATGATTATTCTTAAAGTGAATGTGAATTTATGGCTTCTGTTTAGAGATGCATGCCTAAAATGAGAATAAGACTTTTTTAAACCTTTATAATTTTTGACATATACTTCGAAACAATCTATTTTTCATTTATTTATTTCTTCTTTCATTTATTTTTCAGAGTGGTGATAAAACGAACAAAGATCATTCAGACAATCTGAAAATATCATGGGCATGGTAATAATTCAAGAAACCACACATGAATGCTAAAATCTCTACTGATTATACCACCATAAGTGATTAAACAAACAAAAAGAGTAGATATGTTCCAACTATGCTGAAAAATTTTATTCATTACACATTTTAAGCTTAACTACTCTATGTAATTTCCTACAGAAAGGTGTGTAAATTAGACTGTTTTGTGGTCAGCTTTCCACTTCTAACATCATATTCATGGAAACTAAAGTGTTTCACTAAAACAAGCCCCTTATATCTAATGATTTCTGGATAACAATGCTGATTAAAAAAATCCTGTTTTTAGAAAGTAAAAAGTTGTCTCAGAAAGTGAAGATCATGTTAGTATCAAATGATAGCCACAAATGTGTAGGTTACTAAAGTTCTTAAGAATACATATGAAAATATATTTTTTATATATTTTTATAAACATATTTACTTACACACTAAGATCTAATGCACAATATATCCTTAAATATTCATTTCCTACCTTCTATCATAACCTTTTTGCTGTGTATATATAATTTGAGTTGGATTATTGTAGAAATAAGCAAGCAGTTATTTATACATTAGTTATGGATAGTTCTTGATTACCACAGTGTCCTCAGAATAATACGGTTGAAAAATCGCAATCACTGAGTTGTCATATACTGGCAGAATGCCACTCTACCATGTGACCTTTTCTTGTGTTGCAGCAATTTAGTAATAAAAGAAAGAATTACTTGGTTTTTGAAAGATCATCTGATTGCTCTGTACATGAAGATGATGTCTAATATAGAAAATTAGTAGTGAGAGACATGAAACTTCTTTCCATTTACTATAATTTTTAAAGATCTTACTTGACTATCTCATAAGTACTTTTTCTCAACATTCCCATACATAGTTTCATTTTAGTATTTTATATATAACATTTCTATGTGAGGTTAAAAAGGTGCCAATAAGGCACAGACATTTCTAAATACATGACATATAACTATGTATCATTAATGAGTTTTTAAAATACTAATTTTTCATTTTGTCATATGGCTTCAACTTCTTTTTTATTATTCCTTAGTTACTGCATGTATTTTTCTTCTTATCGAATAGAATGCCATATTACCCACATTTATATATCTATTACATGGAAAATGATATATCTATTGCACAAAATAATTTCTAAGGCAAGAGGCTTACTACTACAATGGAAACTTTGGTCGAATTTATTTTAAAATATTTCAAATGAATGACTAGATTGCTATGGAACTCATATAAGATGCAAATATAACAAACCATTAAAATACAATTGTATTTATGGGTTGCCCTGGTGATCT